ACTCTTTTTGCCTGTCGACCAGTCGCACTGCGACCCGTTCGATCATGCGGTGCGCTTTGGGGCCCCTCAGGCGACTCTCGACCGCCTCCGCCTCCGCCCCCCTGCGTGGATCGAGGCTGGGGCCCGGCCGCAGTCAACGACCCGCTCTGCGCTTCACCTCGTCGGAGCTGTCGTTCATTTTGGTCGGTCTCTCGGCATTAGGCAGCTTTAAGGTGTACCTGTCAAGCCGTGTAGAGGCGCAGCTCGCGCGTGACGTGGATGGGCTTGGCCACCGAATGGACCTCCACCAGGTCAAGTTGGATGACCTCGCGCGCGACGTTGCAGGGTTCAACAACCGCATGGACGTTCTCCAGGGCAAGCTGGAGGAACTCGCGCACTCCCGGCCCCATTACCGCAGGGATTGAATGTCCATAGAAGCAGCCATAGAAGTAGAACCGTAGTTGAGAATGCAAGGACAATGACACTCGCTCATAGCTGCCTGGCTGCACGCGAAGTCTGCCGTCAGAACTGCAGTAGACCTCCCCATTTGAAAGTATACTACGGTAGAAACGCCACTCAACCGTCATCGGCGTCGCCGACTCCAGAGCCAACGTCATTGTCCGCATTGCATTATAATTCTATCCAAGTTACAGAGTATTCTACGACTGCTAGGGCTACCACTCCAGCTCGCCGGGGCAGTATTTCTCAATAAGCCTCTCATAGTACGGCCGCAAGGCGACCTTATCCGGTGGCGCGTCGCTCTTGCTGTAAAGGTCGTACGCATTGAACACCCTGACGGCCCTGAGCTGCTCCTCGTCCCCCGGCCCCATGAGGTAGCGATATGCCCCCTCGCGATGCCAGGGATAGAACGAGTGATACCTCAACATACTCAGGCCCTCCTTGGGAATCGAGCTCTGCCGCCGCATGACGTCGTAGATGTACTCGTCGTGGCCCCAGGACAGCAGCACGTTGTCGAGTCCACACCCCCGCTCATAGATCCCACACTCGGTACTGAGGCCCGGGTCCTGACTGTCCGGGTTGAGCTTGAAGGTGTCGGGGTAGATGATGGCGCGGGGGAATGCACACCCAACGACGAATGTGTCGCCTACAACGTCCCACTGTCCCTCGGCGCCCAGGAAGACGAGCAGCTTGCCCAAGTCATGGACCAGGCCGACGAGCTGCATCCAGTCCGGCTTGCGGTCCCGCCGGAGTGCTTCGGCAGTCTGGAGGAGGTGTTCGATCTGTCCGACCGATGTGTCTGGGTCGGACTCGTCGACCAGCTGGTCGAGGAGCTCGAGGGCTGCCCAGACGCTCATCTTCACTTTGGGGCGAGCAGAGTGTGCTTCCCGAATCGAGACGTTGTATGCGAGTGTCTGTTTGGCGTGTTGTTCCTATACTTGTCAGCTTCATGTGCGTTTGCTAAACATTGGGATGAGGGGAGACTCACCGCATAGAAGGCCTTGACGCGATCACAGGCGTCGTCGTATTGCCTGAAGTCGTCCTTGTTCTTCTCCTTGTCGAACTCGCTTGCTGCGTCCCATGCTGCAGACCCCTTCAGCACGTTGACGGCGTCGATCTCGTCAGACACCGCATCGAGCTTGGTCGCGTGGAGTCGTACCTGGTCCGTGACTACTGGTGCGCGCATCGTGGTTGGGTCTGTCCACTGGCCGTTGGCGATGATGCAGTGTCAGCAATGAAGTCAGTCAGAAGTTATATAGCCTGGGCCTGTCGGAAGGTGTGAGGGTGGCGCGGAAACGGCCCGGGGAGCGCGGTGTTTTGACGACATGGGGCGTCGAGATGCAAAGTTTTGCGTTGCTCTGCTCTGCTCTGCTCGCTTCGCCCGCTCTGTGTCGCTCTGCTCCGACACGAAGCAGGTCCAGCGGCGACCGGCCCGGGCTGCGAACGTTACATTCCCCCTTTACTAAACTTCTGCGCATGACATCTACGTTTCCCGCGTTCCCCACCGGCAACCTTGCGGCATGCAGCGGGCAACGACGGCTGATGCAGGATCGTTGCGGTTGTTGCATGTGCCACGTCCGTGATTGCTCCGTGTTTCATTCAAAATCGGCGGAACGTCGGTCCTGGCACAGCTCCGACTGCTGTCCGATAGGTGTCCACTCGGACGGCGCTGGGCCGATATCGGTCCGTAAATGGAGGCGTGTTCCGTTATCGGTGCCAAATTGGCACGTGGCCGGGCCGACTGACCACCGATCGGAACAAAATCGGAGGTGTTTGTGTGAGAAGCCATCCCGGGCTCTTCGGCAACCATGTTTGGCGTCTGATCTTATCTCTGACTCACCCATGTTGTGCCCCGCACTCTCTCAACGCCCCCCAGCGCACCTCACGACCTCTGCACACCTCTGCTGCACGTTAGAGACCATTTCGAGTGTTTCTGAGTTAAGCCGTACACCTGCCACACGCACAAACGCGCAAAAGGCCGACAATGGCCGTGAATTTTGCGCGCACTGGCAGAACGCCACCGTGGCCAGCTGCCTGCCGCCGGCCGTGGATCCCGTGGAGCGAGAGGGCCCAGCTGGGCCATGTGAAGCGCCCACCTGGTTGTGGCTGTGGCTCCCAGATCCGACAGCGATGATTTCTGACAAAGATTATTGCAACTGCAGAAGAAGCGTAGTGCAGATGCCAAGCAGCCGGGCATAGCCGTGGGGAACCGCAGGGCTGCGCTAGAGGTTACGCTGGAATTCAGGGGAGAATGTGGGCGCGTTTCGCGGGGGTCCGGATTTGCGGGCCGGTTAGAGCTTGCGATCGAACTGGGTTGGGTCAGGTGCTGACGGTACTCGGTCGCTCGGTTGTGGTGTGGGGCTCGACTCTCGCTTCGTATTTATGCTGAGGCACACCTTCTTGCTCCATCGTGCATCCCCTCCCGACAGTCTCTTCGCACTAGCCGCTTGCTTGCGATCCGCAGCTGCATCAGCTAGACTAAGTGCTCGCCTGACCAACACTCGCTAGCTGGCGATTCAGGATCCAAGAACCCACCCCAGAGCCAATCGCGTCCCCGGACCAAACTCGTGCGATTGGGCCGAGAATTATCTCCAGCATCAACCTGACCCTGCCCGAACCCATCCGCCGGGTCATCCAGCTTTACTCTTCCTCTCTCCATTATAATACCCACT